GGCCATTTGGTCACTGGACAGTAATTTTCTCACACTGCCAAGGGGAGCATTGAAACATCTGTCCCGCTCCGCCGCCTCATTCACGTCCCATTTCAAACCCCTGACAACTTCTCCCTGCCCGCCGGCCCTCCCCCTCCGCCTGGTTTTCCAGGGTGCGACCGGGCTTTCCCGGGGTTTTGGCTTTTCTTCTCCCAAATGCATCTCGTCTTTAAAGGGGTCGGATGGAGGCGGGTTCGCTTCTCGGTCCTTTTGCGCTCGGGTTTGCTTTGGTGGCAGCAGCGCTTGTGCAAACCCGTGCCTGTGCGTGCCCCCTGCCCCTTTTCTCGCAGCGGCTTTGCTGTTTTCCATGGGACCCGGTGCTCGGGGACGGGGCTGGAGGAGCAGCCCCGGCCCGCGCCATGATGGTGGGCTTCCAGCCGCACACCGCGGCGTTGGCCACCCTCTTGCAGGCTCTTAGAAAAGCAATTCCCATCACCGTGCTTATTTGTAGACACGAGTTTTTAGCTGGCGTCGGAGCAGCGGGCTTCGGGCGCTGGTATTGATCCCTGCTACGGGGAAAAGCTGGGTGCTCCTCGGAGAAATGGCCGTTGTCGTGTGGGATTTGTGTCTGTCCTCGGGGTGCGTTGTCCTCGGAAATCAAGCTGCTGTATCACAGGAGAAGACAGACGTAGAGTTGCTGGAGCTGTGGGCTGCCAGGTCCTCCCTTCTCCAGGAGGGATGGGTGAGGGTGTCCGTGCCGCCGTTGAGGGCGGCTACTCCCTGGCTTCAGAAGAAACAGCCTGGAAACGCCACCGGGATTTGCCGGTCGTGGTGGTGGCACCTTGTTCCTGCCGTGCTGCTCCACACCGAGCCCCGTGCCATGACGGCTGCTGGAGCAATCGGCCGCCTCCCAGACACCTCCCAAACCCCTCTCCTCCTCCCCCGAGCCCCGGCCGTTTGCAGACTGTATTTTTTGGGGGGGCAGAAGCAGCTGCGGTCTGCACCTGCAGCACACCGTGCACCGCTGCACAGTGGTCTGAGCAAGGGTGGAAACTCCTGGTGCTTCAGTTCCTTCCTTCCAAAAAAAAATTTTTTAAAAATGCCTTATTCCTCATGGAGTCGTCCAAACCCTCATTTTTCCCTTTAATAGCTTCTCAATGCCTTTGGCTCGCAGGCAAGGAAGGGCCCCCTCTGCCCTTCTCTGCCCAGCCAGACCCCGCGTACGGCTTGGGGAAAATCTGCTGCAGGAGCGCAGGTTTATTGGGCAGCGTTCTCCTTTGTGTTCATGAAAAAGGGCCCTTTCCCGCAGGCTGTCGTGGCTGTCTCTCTCTGAATGTTTATCTATCGGGAGCACTTTAATAATGGCCAGTAAATGCAGGGAGGATGCCGGATAAAGCCACGCAAAGCCGCCATTTAAATCCTCTTGTGTAAGTTTGATATCCAAAGTGGAAGTACAAATGCCATTATAAGTCAATTAAAGCATTAAGTAATCTAATTGTGCTGTGGTCACAAAGTGGCTTAAAGGCTGAGAGAGGCGAGTGAATGGTGCACGAGGTCCCCTCCCGGCTCCTACTTTAGCTGTCCCCCGAGGCTTTGGGCAAGGGGATACGGGGGGGGGGACCCGCACCGGAGGTGGTGATGGGGGACACTGCCAGCACCCTCTGCGGGCGCTCGGGGGCCGCCTGGTATTCGGGGGCTGGAGCAAGAGAGGGTGACGCCGGCCTCGGCATCCCCATGCGGTGACAGGGACATGGCGGGGACGGTGACGCAGGATCAGTGGGGTGAGTGGGGACCCCCGGCAGGTCCTGCAGAGCCCCCCGGGATGCGTTTCCCACCCACCACCGTTGCAGCCCTGGTGCAGGGGTGGGTCTGGACACGGCCGGGGGGTTTCTGTCTTCCCCTTTGCTGGAGAAATTGTTTTGGTGGGGCCACGCACAGCCCATCGGCACCGGCACTGATGCCAGGGGGTGAGCGCAGGGATGCCGGCAAAGGTTTGCTCTCAGCCCGTGGTGAAGGGCTGCTTCCCACGTGCGGGCGTGTGTGTGTGCGCAATGCAGCCCCTATTTCCCCAGCCACCTGGCTACACGCTATTAATATGCTATTAATATTATATGCATTATAATTATAATTATACTCTGCTCCAGGTGGGGCATCTCAGGGCAGGGCTGTCCTCTGGCTATGTGTGCCGATGCTCGGCACTGCGGCGCTGCTGACAGCACTGGAGGCTGCACCGTTTGTTTCGCCTTGGCTTGCCGTGGCTTGATAACCTGAATATTTTACTCTCTTGGATGTTGTGACCATCAAAACTTGAGCTGGCGGCGTTCTCTGAAGTGCTCGTGGTTGCTGTTCCTGGGGGATATTTGCACCGATGGTGGTCAAGGGGATCTTTGCGTGGGAAATTTAAAGCATGAGCAGAATTGAGAGCATGTGTTCGCAGTCCGGAGGTGCAGCGTGGTCCAGAAGGACAGGGCAGTGCGGCGGTTTTTGGAGATACTCAATGCACAGAGGTGCTCGTCCCTGTTTCGCTGGTCTCACCCTGCGCTGTCCTGTCCCCCGCAGGTCTGTCGAAGATGCACTGGTCACCAGAGCATGCCCAGTCCCTGAACCAGTGGCCGGAGCAGCACCTTGACGTCTCCTCCACCACCTCCTCGCCAGCCCACAAGTCCGACCTCTACCCCAGCACCCGCCAGCGCTTCAACTACGCCTGGGCCAACGACGACATCTCCGCACTCACTGCCTCCAACCTCCTCAAGAGGTACGCCGAGAAGTACTCGGGGGTGCTGGACGCGCCCTACGAGCGCCCGGCGCTGAGCAGCTACGGGGATGGAGCCTTCGGGCCGGTTAACGGGCAGAAGGGGGACGGGGAGCCCTGGCCGGTGGCGCACGGCTCCGACAGCGCCTACACCCTGACCCCCATCCATGATG